CCTCACTGCTTGAGGAAGCATAGTGTCCCTAAACCTCTAAATGCCTCACGCAGGCACAGCAAATAAATGATCTGGGGTGGGAGATGACAATCTCTGAGACCCAAGAGGATGGGGGAAGGATGCTGAGAGCTATAAAAAAAGCTGTCAAGTGTATCATCTTGTGTAGCGTTCTTCTTGTTAAAGATGCAAGAGCACTTGCAGCTGTTAAATACCGAGGAGAAACAGCTTAACATCCAAGTGTCGCCCTCAGAGGGATCTTACAGAGCAATGAGGTTTTTAAAAAGCTGATGAAAACTTGAAGGACACCAAAACTAGATGAGATACTAAGAAAAAATACCCAGCAAATACAGTTCTAAAATATATAAAAACATATATAAAAACCTATGTATAAAAGCCTTCCTCAGAGGCCCTGAAGTAAGAAATGATGCTTACTCACGTACATGACATTTGTACCCAATTCGATAAACTAATGTTGTGACTGACGCACTCTGCACTGAAATGCAATAGAAAACCAAGGTCTTGACCAGCTGCAGTCTTGAAAGATATTAGGGCTCTCAGGAAGAGCAGACGTTAATCTGTGTTCAGGATGACTCCATCCTGGCCATTTCCCTTAGCTTCCAATTTTCATGGGCAAGAGTATGCTGATTCACTCCGAGCCCTGCACAGTACAGTACAGTACAGGAAACAGGTTTATTCCAGAAGACGCTGCAGTGACAGACTCAAAATAAATGAAAGGACTTCAGGATGTAATAAAAATACATGACAGGATTTCAGGATCAAAGGCACGATGTAAAATGTTAAAACATTTTCTATCCCAAGGTCATCCATACAAAACCTATTACGGATTCTGTAATAATAGAAGCAGTCGCTTCATTGAAATTAATTTATTTTGAGAATATCCCTTTTAATCCTCCATGCATTTTTTAGCACAAAAAGGTGGATTTTATCACAACCTCCTTCATAAAACTTCATTTGTATGTCTGGTAATGTGGCTGTTTCAACAATTCCTCATCGGAAATCCCACATCTGTGAAACCTTGGCAACACTGTCAGTAAGTGACCTACACAAAGTTTAATAGAAAAATTTTACTGAATATCCTCTGTTTAATGTAAACAAGGCAGGAGGCAAAACAAGGAGTATATATTTTATATAGTTACACTATTTTACAGGGCACAGAAAGTATTGAGGATCATGGTTTGAAACCCCTGTATGATACGCAATATCAGATATGGATTTTCCATGTAGCCCCAAGTCTACTAGGTAATCCTTCGATTTTACTTAGGACTTCGGTTTAGTATTTCTTTTAGCAAGACAGATAGCAATAATAAAATGTTATCTGTGAAATTACACAGCAGGTTATGGTAGAAATTACCATGCATTTACAAAGCCATTCCACGATTACTTGTGCCCTGTAAAATCAAGTGTGACAATCTTTACACTAATCGTAGTGTAAGCAAGCTCAGGATTCTGGTCCTTATATATATATATGTATATATATACATAGGTGATGTACAACCAGACTCAAGCTGTGTATCAAATCACAGCTTTTATATTGCACAGACAAATACATAGTAAGAACATTACACAGACAGGATCTGAATACCAGGAATATTACAGTCATATGAGAAACTAAGGACAAACTTGTTCTACCAGAGCTAGCACATGGCTTATTACAAAGTTTTCTCTATCTGAGTCTAAATCAAATACATACTATAAATGGAAAAAAAGTAAAAAATGTGTCTATTTACACACATGTGCATCAGGGTTAAAATGTGGTTTGGATCTGCTTTTTGAAATCAGAAATTATTCTAGTATTACCTCTCAAGTATTTCAATCTAATACTAGAGGCCGTATTTTCCAAGGTGATAAGCACTTGCATTTCCCACTGACATCTGGAGGATCTGCATATGCTGTGAACTTCAGGCCATATATTTTCTCAGGTGTCCATCTCTGGGTAATAAATAACCACATATAAACACACGCACACAGAAACAAAATGGGCACCTCAATGACATGCATAGATTGGAAAGGTGAAAACATGGACCTGAACTAACTTCTAACCTTTTTTTTTTTTAAAAAAAAAGTGCATGAAAAATATCACCACAAAAAATAATTAAACGAGTTCCACCTCTTAAGGAGGATTAAATCACTTTTACAAAAATAAAGGTTATTGTCATCATGTATGGTAATTAAGGGTTTGTAGGCAGCACTCACAAAAGCAGTTTAGGCTAAAGAAACTTTAAGGATTGCTTCACTTCTATCAGGATGGATCCATGTCTTATAAACTTGTCAACTAAACAACATTTGGTGTGCAAGAACATCACCAATGTTGCTGGAGACCGAACAACTATATCCTGAATTTAAGAGTGCTTATAGTTATATGTACTTATTTTTCTCATGGACAAGCATGAAGGAATTGTGTTTGCAGCTCGGTAGACTGTTTTGCATTAAAATGCCACAGAGGTTGCAGCAGTCCTTCCAGAAGCTGACTGATACAATTCCTTACAGTGTAATGAGCTCAGGTATCAGTGAAAACACAACAGAGGTGATGTTAATGTTTTCATTTGAGATCAGGCATCTCCTGAATGGCTTTATAAATTGTTATATTACTTGGAATGCTCTTGCAAGTTTTGTTTAACGTTTCTGTTACTTTCATTTATAGTAGTATTATCACTTCCAGTTTCCACTGAAATTGGGACATTAGAAGTATTCTGGAACATATTCTTAAAAAAAAAATAAATAATGAAAATAGAAAATTTGAGGAAAAAGTAATTAAGCTCAAGCAAAACCAACAAAGACACAAATTCAGTAAAGCATCAGCATTTGTGCTCAACAGCTTAACTTTGTTCATGTAAGAGATTGTGATTTAGGAATAAAATTCTTGAAATTAAGTTCATGTTTAACTGCTTTGCTGAATTGGGACCTTATTTTTAACAAATGTATGTATTAAACATCACTCTGCATTTACATGTTCTAAACTATGTGTCAGGTATGTTATATTAACGAAGCTTCTAATGTGGACTGACTGCAATACATATCACTAAAAATTATTTGCTACTTTCAAGGTATGTTTTTAAAGAACAAAAATGAAAGAAGTGTTATTTTTTAAAACTTTATCCTACTATGCTACTTTGACCTGAAAAGACTTTGGGGCTAAATTCAGCAAAAAAAAAGAGGTGAGGAAGTAAAACATGCTTTTGTTTGCCAGATAAATGCAATGCTCTGTACAAAAGCCTCCCAGTATAGGCAGCCACTGAATACAGGTTTTACCTGCCAAAATGTTTCCCCAGTTCCAGAACTGCTCTCTCGAGCTGAACCTGTACTGGAAGCTTTTACAGCAGGACCCTCTTCACTGTTGTGACAAGAATAAATTTAGCCCATTAACTGTGACACTGTTCTAATTAACCTGCTAACTTAAAAGGCCTTTCAACATCCAGGTTCCATAAATATTAAAAAAAAAGACCTCAAAGGCATGGATTCAGAGCAGAATCTGATTCTAGGTACAGTCATGTAAATCCAATCACATCTGGAACAGGCATTAGCTGTGCAAATAGGATAGTAGGAAAGACAAACAAAGAAATACAATGTAAACACAAGGAGCTAACCTCTACCTTGCCTGCCTATGCTATTACATTCATAGGAGGGGAAAGAGGTACTACACACCTGTGCGGAGAGCAGGACAGGTCTCTCATCCAAGTCACTCGGTGTGACTTGAAGGTTCAATCACAGCCACCCGCACCTGCCAGTGCATAGGTGGCAGTGAGCAGCCAGAACTGTCTGAAGTGCAGGCTGCCATCACGCTAAAGAAACAGAAGCAAAGCATGCTGAAGTCCGAATGGCTCTCCACTTGCAATGCAAATGCCTGCCCTGACTGATAGTATCCATATTGAAAAAGATTCACTGAGCGACATTTCTGCATCCCAGCACTGTGAAAAGCAGGCGTAAATTTTGGTCCTATATATGGTATCAACGCTTTAACTGAATTGGCATCAGTCAATCTTTTGCTGGGCACTGCTGCTATGGTTAGACAAGCAATAAAAACATTTCTAAAAATGACAGAATGTTTATGCTGCCAATTTTCAAGGCACAAAAGATTCTTAAACCAATGCAGGCTAAATACCAATTTAAAAGAAATTAAAAATACTGTTTCAGCAACAACTACTAATGACCTATCATTAACTGTGAAGGTGACATGAGTCGAGTAATTAGAGTTCACATGCAAAAATCTAAAGCAAATCTAGTTACACAGATAACCTGAAGAGCAATCACTTGGAATGACAGAGACAAACATGCTAGAAACATGTACACTTCAGATATATTTGTTACGGATGTGATGCTGAATCAGGATTAATTCCATTAGTATTGATTTTATACTATCTCTTGGAGTAATCCATTGGGGAATCAAGCTCAGAGTTGTCTTTAAGATTCACCAAAACAAAAATGATCCCTCATTAATATATCCCACTGTATATGGATTGGTGGATTTTTTGAACCTCTCTTCATTTTTAATAATACACATTGCAACTATAGTTGTGATTTCCTTTCACATATCCAGCTGAAAAGAAAAAGAATTAAGACATAAAAATGTTATAAAATTAATTTGCTTTTTAAAAGTAATACGGTCACAAAAGGCGAACTGGCGCATGTGATCCCCAGAACATACAAAAGACCCAACTCTCTAAACATTGTCATTATAACAGAATAACCAAGGTCTGATGTCTGCAGTTCTTCATGCAGCTTTTGCAGCTCTTCACACAGCGGCTAGAAATGCTATGTATTGGTTTCTCCCAAAATGCCTTCAATCATATTCTAGGTCCATTTGAATCCTTCTGTCTTGCAATGTCAACATCTGGTGAAAGGAACTTTGTCTTCCAATTCTGCCAAATGTCAACTGACACTTTGCCAGGAGGCACCACCTCTTCTTATCTGGGTGTTGTCAATAGTCTTTTCGACTGAAACAGGCTAGGTGGTTTTACAGCCTCGCTACTCATCAAGGCTGCTTATGGTGTAGATGAGGCATGATACTTCACAAATGCAATTGCTGCCAGCTCTTTGCAGAATTCTTCCAGCACAATCACGCCCTCTAGTAACGTCATGTGGTCAATGCTGAGAAAGAGAAAAAAATCGGCAGAGAATCAGGACTGGCACACACAAAAACCAGCTGGGGGTCTGAGAGAATATGCAATATATTTACTCACATGGGCCCTTCCGGCTCCAAGCCCAGCAGGCGTTTTCTGACCAGCAGAAGTTTGGGAGTGAAATCTGGGATGCGCTGGATTCTAACCATGAGGTCTCCAACGACCTGTAAAGCACAATGCCATCAACATACAAAATTAACACCTTTGCAGAGTGCCTGGCAGCAAGTTAAATGACAGCCTTCAGTGCCCAGGACGCAAACCCACTTCAGCATCCTCACAGGCTCACAAAACAACATGCAGAGTACCTGCTCTGCCCCCAAAAAGGGTGAGTGGGTGCAGAAAGTAGAGAGATACAAAAGGGCAGGAACTCTTGAGCCTTACTTGCTGTTGCCACAAATGACATTACTTAATTATGTCAATGATTAATTTGTCTTAGTAAATGTTGATGCAGGCAATTGATCAGTAAATTCCTGAGTTTAGGGAAAGCACAAGGAGAGAGAGTGAAGATTATATTTTGAAATGGTAGGGGCTGCTGGGAAAAAGGGAGCTAAGCCCTCCATTAGTATTGGGCAAGCACCATTAATAGGCTCCTGACCAGCTTAATAACAGCTGGTGCGTGGGATGTCTGACTGAGAAGACTGCAGTGTGCCAGGCACCCGGCCAGCACTTCTAGGATGCAGGTCTGGCAGGAAGAGATGGAATCAGAGAGGGAAAGGAAGGGGACTTTCGATAAATCCAGGACTTCATTGACAAGAACAGCCTTCATCAGAAAAAAAAGAGGATGAGCAGAGGTATTCATCCAGACACAGGGTATTCAGGAGTGTCCTTTGCTTGTGTGTGAATCAAAGCCATCTCTTTCCCATCCAGGTGCAAACCTGTACTTGGCCTGTTCTTACAGCACTACCTGACATTGCCTGCAAGTGACAACAATGTGACCTAGTCCAGTTTAAAGCAAAATCATTGCCAGAGGGGATGTTTTGATCTATACAATGAAACTAAGCAAACAAACAATTTTGAAGACGTCAGGACACAGAAATACATTTTCCAATGTTTTTGGTAGAAAATCCAAAATCTTGATTCAAATCAAGAGCATAAGTATCTACTTTCAGTGAGAAGTCATTTGCCAACTTAAACTAGCCAGCAACTACTACCAGCAACTACAAAGTTACTAAATATATCGCTGCTGTATAGCCATATGTAAATATTAACTGTGTGTTTACTCACCCTGACAATAACAGAGAAGAGAGACCTGCAGCCAGAAGCTAGGTTTACATAAGGATCCAAAAGGTATTCATGTATATGAGGGTGGGGAAACAAGGACAGTTTGGACAACACTGACGTAACTTGTAAATTTACATCATAGGGCTGCAAAAAAAAGGAAAACACAGTGCTTAGTTATTTTCATGCTGGCTTCTTTTCATCCAGCCAGTGTTTACTTAACTACTAGAACCTTATACACAGGGTTATGAATAAATAAAGATAGAAAGTTAGATTAGAAGACAGGCCCAAAACCTCTGCTTTCCACAACAGGAGTGATGTGAATATGACAGTTAGGTATTAGATGTTATTATCTGTATAACTGCCACAACCACTTGAAGCTTTTGCACACTTGTTTATTATAGGATAAGTCCTCTTCCTGTAAAACATTTTTTCAGCTCAGTAGCTAAACAAATAGCATAGAATCAGCTTAGATTAAACATCTGCTTGCTTCTCCTGGATAACTGTAAAGTATATGAACTCAGGAAATTGAGAGAGACAAATCCATGTTTACGGCTAATATGGTATTTCTCTTCTTCTGCTTTCTTTTTCTTGGAAAGATCCATTGCAGAAGGCCTGGTCATCTTGTGGCAGCGTGCTATGGGAGATGAGACAGTCCTAGGCTGGGAAAGCAGCATGAAATTCTAAGCTTCTCTACCTCCTTTCCGCAAATCAACTAACTGGGAGAGGTAACACTGTCAGATGCTGGAAGCCGCTAATCAGTCATAAAGAAAAAAAATAGTACCTAACTTTCTAGGAAAAAAATAGTGCCGACCTTAAAGGATTTTAGCATTCCAGTGAGAAACTCATTTCCATAAAATGGAAGCTTCTTAATGTTCCAAGTACTTTTTTTTCCATCTTTGATTTTCTCATCACAGTAAAAACAAGCTGACATTTTAATTCAGCCCCAAATTTGCAAACTAGTGGAATTTCCTTCCATCTATTCAGTGGTGGAACAGATTCCGTTGACAAGAGATGGACAGACATTGCCCTGGTACACCCCTATGCCAGTCTGAAGATGTTACCAACACCCAGATGGTTTAACTTTGTTGGTTTTACCTGAAGTGGATTACAGGGCCTCATTCAATCTCTTTGACTGCATATTGGCAGTAACATCCTCAGTGGCATAATCACATCTAGAAGAGGATGATTTCATGGCCTCAAATTATCATCTCTATGCTCTCAAGTTAGCATCCCACTGAAGAATCAGAGAACAGATTCTTCACTTTTCCAGACTGTAAGATTTGGAAGAATTCAACTTCGGATTAAGACAGATATATTTAGATATGTCTACATGTCTAAGCTCGCATTAGCCTACTAAACAGAGATCTGACACTTGATACACTTGCCTACACACAAACATCTCGTGCCATCTCAGATGCTCAGGAGTATCTGCTGGTCTCTTGGCAGTTCCACAGAGGGTGGATCCTGCAAGATCTGTGTTGTAACTGCAAGCTTGTTGGGAATATCTTGGGCATCACAAAAATGGCAACAGATACCTCAGTTCAGGCAACTGAGTCGAACTTTCAGTCAATACAGGAAGCCGAGATGGTGATTCACTTCGCACTAAAAGAGACACCTACTTACTTTTCAGTCTAACAGCTCCAGAGACTACTGGGGCTGTTCTGACAAAATTTCCACTGACTAGATGTGGACACCTAACTAATATTTAGGTACCTTATTACTGAATTCATTACCACACACTGTTGCATTGCAAAGAGATCTTTTCAAGTGAAAGCACATATTTCTCCCAGTCAGTAGCAGTTATTTCTGTACTTGATATTCCAGCAATAGATTCATCCCAATCTTCTAACAAATGAAGCTTTGAGACCCTGGACCAGAGATGTTACAGGTAAAAAAGATCACTACATTTTTAGTTATTGTGGAAAAGTTACTCTGCAGACAGAGACACAAACTCCTTCCATAAATCCATTCCACTGTCTACCTAGCTGAGCTGAAGGAGAAGGTCTTTAGAGTTGTCTGAGTCAGTCAATTCATTAGGAAGCCTTGAAGCGATGAGCATTATCTGGTGTTCACGTGAAGAGAAGGAAACAAAGTAGTAATACGTGCTGCATTGTTCAGACAGATTGCTGTTGCGATTTGAACTAATTGAGAGCATTAAGGAAAGCTGCTTCTCCACACAGAGCTTTTATTTCTGTCCATATGTCAGCAGACTCCGTAAGACAGCCTTATATCAGATAACATCTTAAAAAAATTCTCTGTAACTAAAAAGGTTAAAACCAGCAAAATCTGCAGTTCAGGAAATTCTTACAAAATTCTTAGGAAACAGTCAATTCCATAGAAATGTATAATATTAACAGGAAGAAGGAAGTACTGTCTAGCAGATGAGGTACTGGATTTCAACAGCCTTGAAACAAGTTGCTTCACTTACGTGCCTCGGCTATCTTCTGTCAGAAACTAGGTTAATGGTACCTACCACCTCTGCAAAGTTTTCTAATATCTACTGACAAAAACTGATAAAAACACAAGAACTACCTTTGTGACAAAGCAAAAAAAACATTGAACACAATCTGGAAGTAGTACTGTGTCCCCACTAAAGGCTTTTCAACATTTTTCACTTTGTCTGGACATTAGCACCCATTATGTCAAATTTGTCATTAATAGGACCCAGGTTTTGTTGCTTTGTGATGGGTTGTTTTTTTTTTTCCCCTATGTGATTTATGTGTTTCACTGTGAATAACCCCTAGGAATTTCAGTTTGGTTTTTAGGACAGGGTTTTGGTACGATATAATAAGAATTTACCCCTTCTGTCTGATTCAGGCAGTTCATTTTAATTCTTCTGGAGTCAAGAACCATTTTTGAAACCACAGATCGTAACACCTTGCTCAACTAACCCAAATGTGTGTCATGCTGACAGGTAGTCTATCAAAATGGGCACTGTGCTTCCATGCCAGATGCTACTTTTGTTGTAATCGTATGCATCTGACACTCAGATGTTTCTCAGGGGATGTAACTTGGATTCTTTACTTTTTGTAATTTATGTGTCATTGCTCAGAGAAGGTTTTCATATGCATGAGGCTTGTTTTTCCTAAGAGCTAATGATGCCCAGTTTTCTTCATGACTCTAATCTATAACCATTTCAGCTAGTGAAGTGTGCAGAACATGTTTACTGGAAGCAAAACCCTGAGAATACACAATATAGCAAAGGAAATATTTGGCTTTCTTTTCTGACTTCTGAATTATAGAAGTTGGTACTCTCAAACATCCTTCTCCCCTGACCTAGAGGCTGACCTAGAGGCTACCACTGGCTTCCTGACATGTCTCCTATGCATTTATATGTTCAAATGGCTCTTGTCCTGCTTATGACCAGAAAATGTGGCACTACCACAGCTATTTGTTTATTCTGTAGATAGTTCCACATGCAAAACAGAAAAGAATTTACAAACTTCTGAAACTGGTACTATTGCATCTGTAGCAACTCCAGCTGGTATTACAGGGAAGGTAATCTAGACTTTTAGGGCTTTTTTTCACTGGCAAGAAAAGTTATCTTCTTGATCTAAAGCAGCAACATTGACTTGACTAACTGAAGTCCAGAGTTTAGAGAAGGCAAAGAAACGTTAAGTTTTCTCACAGGGCAACCTCCTTTCCACCTCTCTGAGCCTTCACTTCGCTTCTCCCTAGAAAGACTAGGTCGTGCAGGCTGGCTAAATACAGAAACAAATACACATCAGGAAAATTCACTTTCTTTAAAATCCTTTGTACTAATCTGGGTCTGACATGTCACACCTCCTTTTCAGAACAAGGAGCCAGTCAGATCATATCTCATTTGTTTGCCCTTAGCAGCTACACTTTTATTATTTGAAGGTAATCAAACAGAAAAAAACCTACTTTACATTGCAGATGGAAAAGCATACCTTCTAGAAACTTTCCATGCACTGATAACAGTTTTTTCTAACAGTGAAAAAATGGGGGAAATGTTAACAGTGATACAGTAAGTTCCTTTCATCTTACACAGTGATGTAAACTGCTTCCAGAACACGGCTTCAGATTGAAGTTCACTGAAATATGGCAGAAAGGAGCTGTACAGTATTTTATTCACTGAAAAATGTACATGTTTCTAAGTGTAAATGCTAGAAAATGAAAACAGAATCAGTGATGCTAGTACTGAAAGATTCCTAAGATACTATCTTACCCTCTTCTTTTACTTAAAGGATATTCTTGTCTTACACATTAATTTAAATTATATTTCTGGTCAAGAAAACATTTGATATACAAAAAAGTGGGTAACAAAGATAAGAGGGTTCTTGTTCTCTACTTTTGTTGAGAATGCTGATCACTATAACATCCTGCAATCTACAGAGACCTGCACCAAGGACATGGACATTACACAATAATATGATGCTATAATAGACATCTGAGTGATGGGAATCCATGGGACCTTGGAGATCAGCCCTTTAGTAGTGATGAAAGTATCAGAAATGGAATTCATAATCTGCTTTTCCTTACCTGATCAAGAATCCTGCCCATTCTTTCAAACAGGACTTTCAAGAAGTGTCCTTCAAAAAACGATGCTTCTAAATTGCACTTTTCCAAAGATCTGGGAGATCCAGGCCACTCCCACCGTAAGCAGATGACACAATAATCGCGGAACTAGAAAAAAGTAGCGAGGAAAACAGATTCAAACCTCCATGGAAACAATTTCTTTCCTTTTAATAGTCCATAGGCCTTAAAACTATAATCTGTAGCTACGTGAAAAATCTAAGCCCAAAAAGAACAGTCATTCTAAAATAAACATGATCAGTTTCTATGCCCACACCTCATTTTCTTCTTGACATTCATGCTATTAGGGTGGTTTCAAAAACACAATGAGTGGAGAACAGCGCTCCCAAAAAGCAGCTGGGGCCAAAACACAAAACAAAGCCAACAATACACATCCTGATCAGGGTTCTTCTAAAGCAGGAATTGCATTCATATACATTCTTGTTGTCAGTACGTTACCACACTTTCACTGTGTTATGTGTAGCTTATCTTGCTATCCAATTTATATTGCTCCCTAGTTCCCAGGACAGAAAGGCACGTGTATATGCAGGAGATACAAATGAAAAAAGTACTTCAGGGCTTCCTCTTCCCTCTCTTTGTTTCCTATCACCCATAACAGTCTTTCTCAACCTCTGCCTCTGCCTGTGATTTGCTGTGGGCTGCCTGATGTCTCACTTTCAAGGAATTATGCCTTGAAAGGAGTATAGGTTATAGCAGTGAAAATAAGGAACACAGGAATAAACAGTAGCAAAAGAGAGACAAAACAGACTCAGAAATTCTTCACTGTATGTAGCTTACCTACTTGTGCAGGCTTCCAGGAATAGAAATATGGAAGCAGAACAGCTGTTTGGATGTAATAACAGCAATAGGCAGGGCTATTCTTAGGGGGGAAATATTTTAAGAGTAGCCATTATCATTGTCAGGAAGTGACAGAAACCAATTCTGTTCTCTAATAACTCCCAGAATACTCTTTTTCCCAAGGCATGAAAGAAATACAAAGATGATATGTGTTTTCTGGCATCCAAGAATAGAACATAGGGGAATTTTACATCAACGTTTGTTTCCTTATTCTCTATTTTCTACTCCCTTTCTTTTCAGGGGAGACTACAGATAAAACAATATAATAAATACAGAAGTCCAAGCTTCCCATCTTAAACTGCTGATATCATAATTCAGAGGTTATGGAATTTTTGAAGTACCGACTAAATATAGCGCTCTCGGTTATTCTACTCCTTTGTATACATTTTTCTATTCTAGAGGATTCACGGGGCTTCAACAAGAAAGCTGCAAATAACAGTGACTGTCCTCTGACCACGGAAACTTTAGATTATGTTTGCAAAAACAAAACCAGCATTTATTTCAAAACAGTAAACCATAAAGCTTTCCCTGCCTACCAAACTCCCAACTTCAAACCTGAATGCCTTAGGCTGCACATTCCCTGTGATGAGCCTTTATTTTTAAAGTCCCAGATTGCATAACTCCTATGCAGCATTTTAATTTCCCTTTAGTCCTTTCAAACAGCTTGGCAGGCAATTCTCCAAGAGAATGCAGATAAATGCAAAAGCAAATTAAGAATCTATCTGCAGTTCAGATTTTCTCTCAGCGTATTTGTTATATGAATATTAATGCATTTAATGTCATCCATTATTCCCACTAGGGTAATACAAGGTGGATTCACTGTCAAAAGATCTCCAAAGGTAAGTTTTCATTAGAAAATAAAAATTTAATTTTCCCATCTTCCGTTACCAAAAGATGCATTTAGTAGGACTATTTATAGAACCATTTGTATATTCTCATAAGCATTTCAAATGCTAAAGGACTAAAGAAGACTTCACTGACTTACTTGTCTGTGTGCATCTCTGAGGTAAGTATCATAACCTGTACCCTCCACATGGTATGACGACTTAGCTTCATCAGGTACAAGACAGAGAAAACTAAAGAGAAAAAAAGTACATTAATGAATATCTATAATCCACAGAGCACCAGATCAATACTTTCTCATCATCTGTAACAGTGTACACAATACTGAATTGTCTGGCCAATTAATCCACAGATTCTACCATAAGTTTATGTGAAGAACAGAGAATACAAAACCTATTTAAGGGTGTCTATTCTAGCTACTGTTCGTAATTACAAGATATATACTTCAGAACTTTTATATCTAGCACTAGAGATAAAAACCTCAGTGGAAGCATTTTCCGAGAATTAGCAGACAGAATGGACATGAAAAGGAATATTCATAACCAGGTCAAGTATTTGCTAAAGGTCAGACTCCATCTTACTAGAGCATATGGAAAATTTACTGGGGAACAAATGAGCCAAAAGAGAAGGAGAATTACAGTTAATATTCTTCTTAACCTACTGCATAGGCAGTTTTATTTACCATAGTTTGTTGTGTTAAAAAATGAACATCTAAGAACATACTGGAATATTTGCATATAAATGTCCCAGTTACAAATATCATTGCCTTTGCCAGGTATGTAGTGCAAATACTGTATGTCCTTATTACTTCACCAATATCTGACCTAAAAAGCATCAGGAAATTCTCATTCTTATTAGAGAGGAACTCTCTTTGAAAAATAAATATAAAAACCTAAAATTTCTGGACAGCAAAATAAAACTCAGTCTTTGGACCCTGTTTCCAAATTTCAGCTTTCTCCACACCCCAAGAACTGCTGGAGGATCCTGTAAGATTTATACGCAGAGATATGTAGTAGCTGACTTTCTGTATGGAGTTCATCTTATCTGAAAAAATACAAATTTGCAAAACACTGCAAATCCTGAAAACATTTCTATTCACTGATGGAGATTACACACGGTGAATTTAGGAGAGTGTTCTTTGCATCTTTGCTCCAGACCATGTCCACCATAAACTATATATAGCAATACTGGGGGAAAGAGAGCAAGAAGCGGCTATGCCATTCTATGCTGACTGTCCTCAGGCTGCTTGCTTCCTTTGGCTAACACCTTTGATTATTTCTGGGTAAGTAGATAGGTCAGCACTGAAATACCAGCGCTGCTTTGCTACCATGTATTAACAGAGCAAACAGCATTTGTCCTAATATCAGTTGCTAAGAGAATCACCATCACTAAGTTGCCTAGAGCAGAGCCTGTCCTCTTTGTGATACCCATTTTGCAGGACATCTAACATGCACAAAGGTGTGTTACAGGTGACAGAGATGCCCCTTGATCGTCAGGGAACAGCAGGTTATCTCTAGCATGGTGATTATTTACTTTCATATATGAGTTTAAGGAACTTTAGGAAGTTTGAGGGGTTTTTTCCCCTAAAATGTTTATGGCAATACACCCCAGTCTTCTCCAGGAAGGTCAAGTCCTGTAACAGCAGTTTAAGTATAGCAAATATTTTTGAGAAAATAAAGTTTTATAATCAATAAGGCTTTCATCGTGAATTCTCAGTATTCAACTAGACTATTAGCTGTAAATTTGTTCTGTTTTTCTCATTTATGTTTAATTATTTTTACTTATTGTAAGCTCTAATCTTTCAGGACTAGCTTTCTGATAAAATGCCACATAATTTCCTTCTGTGGAGTCATTTTACCAGCTGGCACAGAATAACATCTATTACAGAGTACATTTGATTTGCACAGTATGTGCAGACACCCACACATTCAGAGATTTCTTTAAGTGTTTCTTTCAACTTACCTATTTACAATTTTATGAACTTCAGTCTTCCCATCATTTTTTGGATGTTCTGGACTGACAGGTGGAGAAGCACTGAGCCACTCTTGAGTTGACAATGTGTTATCTGGAGACAGATCGGTAAATAACGGATCTTCCTCTAGGTCTCTGTGAGATTATATTAGACAAAAACATAATCATTCACAGAATGTTATGGAAGGCAGGAAAATCTCTGGGTCAAAAGGCATGCTTTCTATTTTTCTTCTCTGAACAACTAGGATGTTTTCCGGAACACTATCATATGCACAACTTTTTACCCAATTAATATCAGAAATACCAACCTTTACAAATACCCAACAAACTTTGTTTTGAAGAAAAATCGTAACTTCTTGATCTGAACAACAGAGTAGACATTTTTGACTCGTACAAAATCACTGCATTAAATCACTTCAACTCTTTAGCCGCATTTTTTACATGAGAGAGAGTTATACTCCAGGAAATCATTAGATTATTTTATATGACTCAGAAATACCTAAATAGCCGGTGTGACTAGTCCTTACCCCTCTATCAGTAAAAAAAGGAGTTACAAGAGTTACATAGGGTATTTAAAAGGATTTTATGTAAGGTGTTCCAGAAAAGTTCTTCCATCAAAGAATGGTTCAAGAACATAAATGTAAGCAAGACACCTAATGACTGACTTCAAGAATAATCTCACTGAAAACAATACAAATATGCACAGACTTAAGCTAGGTAGATGCCTAAGTAAATTGATATATGAAGACCTTTGAGCGCTTATTGTTCTGGAAAGAGGCTTTTGATAATTTTAGCTTTTCTGTTACTGTTCTAAAAATTTCTATAAGTTGCTGATAGAATAATTTCTGCATGACACTATGGATACAGATTAATACATAGAGCTCAAAGTGCTATCTATGCTCACTTACTGAAAAAAACCCTTGTTTTGTTCTAAAAATAAGGATCCAAGTTAGCTGTTGTGAAAACTTCCCTTAAAAAAGAAACTTACACTGCTCCTGCGATCTGTCCATTCTCTACCACATCTTTATCTTCTTGACAGAGAGGCTTGTATTCCATATAGTTTCTTTCTTCTAAATTTCTCAGAACTAAATTATAAAGAATGTGCTCATTGGGTTTTTGCAAAAGATGCTCAAACATTCGTAAAGTCATTATGCTGATCTGCAACATAAAAAGTAAAAATTCAATAAACTGATGCACCGCTGCCTTATGCTTTTTGCCTTATATCTGTTTATACATCCTAGAACATTGCAATTACTTATTTACATTATGGAAGGAAGCAAAAATCCTAAGAAAAATTAGGAAATTGTTATGCTGAATGTGGTATAAACATGGATGAAGAGTTCACACACATTTGAAAATCAATGTGGATGTATTTTTTTCCTGTAAAACAAAAATTGTTCTAGAATCTGCCAAAATAACAATGCAAAGAACATCCAGAGAACTTACAACTTAGCTTTCCATATTACAATCAGATCCATGCTGGCAGATGGTTATCATTGTGCAAGTGAGACACAGAACAGGACTTAAAGTTAGTAATAAATACCCAGAATAAAACAAAGTAATACTGGGATATTGTGACTAGAACTGTAGGCTAAGATTTTTACATGGAGATATTACGTAGGCTTTTAAAAGGAGACTGACTTTAAGCAATACAGAGAGAGTTTTTGAAGACAGCTTTAGAGTGCTTAGCTTTGCAAAGATCAACTAATTTATACAGATAACTGATTTTGACAGGGTGAGCAGGTAAGCATACTGAAAAAAATGGATGGGTGAAGGCACAGACCTGTATTTCACGCAAGCTTGGTTTTTATTTGAAAAAGTAGAGGGTGGAGGTTGTTTCATGGAAAAAATGAAACAAGCAGCTCCTGAGGAGGAATTTTACTGAAGTAAATTATTTTAACAACGTTTACTGTGTATAAAGTGCTTAAAGTTATTATATCTTCTTTTAATTGGCATTGTGTATATTCTCTGACCACAGTTACTTTATATAAAAAATAGTAAGTTTTTAACTATACCTTATGTGATAACATGACAGAATTGACACAACGTGGAAAATAACAGCGATGCAACATATAACAAAGCATGAATTAAGATGCAATTATAGAAACCGATTTTGGCCTATCTTACAGATGAGCGAGCCCAACTAGATATGCATAGGGGGCAAGCAAATTTAGCAAAGAATCTTTATCAATGGGAACAATGTGCTACCTGGAGAAAACAGCTTAACTTTCGTTTTCTAAAGGGAATTTGTAGATCTGGCAGTCAGAACTCTTTTCCTTGGCAAAAAAAGTTAGCTGACACAAATATGAAAAGACCTCACAATGGCGTTTTTACAGACTCTACGCAAGACAGAACTGGCCAGCAGACATTATTATATCACTACCACTTCTCACCTCGTCAGAAATATGATCACAGTGTTCGATTAACCTGTGTCGCAATGGATGTCTATTGATGTCTGTCAAAGTTTCTGGCTCTCTGTGTTCTCCAAGTATAAAATAAACTATTTCCTGCAGCAGGACATCTGAAGTCACTTGTCGCACCATGCGATGCAATAGTGCAGTTGATGTGAGGATTCCAATCTCTGAACTGAACAAAAAATTTCATGTCAGATATGTAGTGGACTTCAGCTGAAAAAAAATCAGCTTGATTCAGATTCTGTTCTGCTGTGTCTTGTAGGATGCTACTCACGTTTGCATCAGCTGGGGTTCCATAACATCAATGAAAAATCGTTCCCGCACAGCTTTTGCCATAGCAACAGCAGCAGTCTGAAACAAAAGTACAAAATGGTATGTCTCAAACTCAAAAGCTAAGAACAACTGGAACTACTTATTTGCTGAATATATTTGTATCATCTGCAAACATTTCAAACCTTTTGTGCTTCTTTGATGAGTTGATCACAGTAGTCAAACCATGAAAGAAAAGAAATCAATGCTCTTTTCCCTGGAAAAGCAGATGCATCTTCTTTGTGGCTATAAGAATCCAAACTAGAGAACACAGGAAAAAATACTTATTTAGTCTACAAGTAATTGAAGAATCTTGGACTTTATTCTTACTGAACTTAACAGAATAATTAATGATCTACTTGCAACGAAGTGAACATTAAAATAGCTTTTCTGCCAGTCTCTACTAATCTGGCAGATTACACAGGTTTTCAGTGGCATGCTAAAGGACACATAGTATGTACAGCAGAACTCTGTGAGTCAGAAGGGAAAACTGATCACCTAGCCTATTCTCCCAGGAAAGACAGACCACAGAAACTGAATCAATAACTCCTGTAGTCAGAGAACCATAAAATGAAGGCAATTGTTTTTCTTTACTCTGTAAGTGACCTCAATCAAGTCCACCAAAACAACAGTGTATACCTGAACTAGATTGTATCTTTCAGAAAAAAACACATGTATCCCAATTTAAAGGCTCTATGGAATAACAAATTCACCATTTCCTTTGGTAAAGCAGTCCAATAATTATTTATCCCACTATTCAAAGTTGTGGTTTTTTCGCTTCTAACTTCAAACTCCAACCACCAGAAATTTTGGTTGTTATTTTGCATATACCTACTTTTTGTCTCAGTATTAACAGATCACAAGCAATTCATAATAATGAAGGCAGAGTGGGGAAGAGAAATGTTTTGAGAATCTAACATGCAAGCAGTTAGGATAACAGGCATGTATCTTTTGCTTCATGCTGATGAGTTATGCAGTAACTCTTTCCTTCTTCATTTTACTGCAAAAATTTTGCAACAACAGCCTGTTATCAAAGACACCCTTCCTGCTCCCTGCAGCAGCTTACAGTGTTCACTGTGTACAGTGAAAAGTTTATGTTTCCTAAATCCTTAACATCTGAACAAGAAAATAATTTGTACCTGATACTGCAGCTACACCACTACAAATTGCTACCGTAATTCAGTGGAAAAACCTGCCCCCTGAGGAATCTCTGTAAGGGACTGGCAGCCAAACCTGGCCCTGTGTCAGAAATCACGCATACATTGGACGCCCAAAGTCGTACCAGTATGCTGCAGTGGGATCTCAGCTCTGCTCTTGAGTCTTTAGCATGGGGGTGTGAATATTTTATACATCTCATCTATCTACAGAAAATTAGTTTCAGGGAGGGGTGTAAAGTCACCTTGGGTATTAAATACAAAAATAAAATTCTTACCCCCAGTTAATTGCCTCCACTGTTTCAATGTCTAAGGGATCCAGTGACTGAGGCAGGGCTTTGTAGAGGGTGGCCAGCCTGTCTGTCAACAATTCACATAAACAAGTACTTTGAGTCAGGCACTTGGCAGCTGCTGGTTCTGGCAAACTCACCAAAAGCATGAGGCCTTCACAGGCCTTCACTGCTATCCGGCCGTCCTGGCAGAAGGGCATGGAAGAATTAATCAGAGGGTGAATGAAGCTCACTTGAAATCAAGAAGCAAATGTGTCCCAAATAAACCCCCTCTATTCCCACACAGTGAGTGAATGCCTATATTTTTGTTGCCTTTCCAGTGATTACAATTTATTTCTACTGAATTTGGATAGTACAAAATAAAGAATCTCACCTGAATCCATGTCAAATACTAAGAATGCAACTGCAACCTTCAGGTTGACAGAACTAGTGCTGTAGGTCAGCTTAAGACCAAGATATTAAACAATGTAAACTATCACTTAACAATAACAAGGTACATCGGTAGATTCAGTTTCCTGCTCTCAACACTGCTGTAGCAACTACAGGCTTACCCGGCCCCCCTCTTAAGTTTTCTGAAAGAATCTGAGTATGAATTCGAGGATGGAGCTGGGTACAGCAGTTGTTTTTAAAAGAATTCAAACCCCTGGAGATAGCCCAGTGCCTTTACAAAAAAAGTGGGTTTGGTTAAGTCAGTACAATCGAAAGTAGTTTTTAAAATATTCTCTTGTGGTATATTTAACCTAATGATTATCCTATCATTAGCTTGTCTGTGAAACATGCAGCATCCTATACAAATTGCTCAAAAAACACCTACATTACCATCAACAAACTTACTATTTATTTTCTAAAACTGCATTTTTTCTTTAATCTTAACTGGCAAAGAAAATTGCCAATTTACAAAGCTGCCTGCAAAACAAACCTTGTTTTACTTTTTATAGTTAAAATACAGTGTGTACATACATGTATATCCACTCCCTCTGCCCACTTCACACAGCATCTGAACTACTTCATTTTATCACATCGAAGAGAACAAAAAAAAAAAAAAACTCACAGGACTTTTAGTGAGGTTTAGTAGAGAATTCACTAAATTATAGTCTTGATTTGGACAAACAGCAGAGGACTCGGGTGATGATGTGACATTTAGTTCATCCAAACTGAAAGAGAGATCATCCGCCTGTTGTGGGAGGTCATCTTCCTTCTCCATTTGTTCTGCTCCAGCAGCACCAGATATTTCTTCAGGCTGAACGGGCTGTCCCGTGTCTGTTGACAAAGAGTCTTGGCCTTTTAGCATGTCTTCTGTGATTACACTTGCTGATCCTTTGGAAGCCATTGCTTTTAACTTACTCTGCAAAGCATTTTGTTGGAATTACACAGTTGAAATTACTGTTCATCCTGAAGCAGAAATTAACTAAAAGCAAATTTTTTACATCAGCATTTGAAGTAGTTCTCTACAAGGCTGGATACAGTTACCATGTAGAATGCAATGGGTTGCAGGAGCAGGGGAGTTTTTAAACATAGAACATTTTTTAATCTGCTTAAATTTCTCTTAAGCCCTGTACCATTTTGCTTCAAGGCTGAATATGCCATTTACAAAGAGATGGCATCTTTTTCTCTCCACCACTGAAGGCACACATTCATTTGATTTGCCCACTATTTGATGATAGAAGTTTTTCGTTTACCTTATGAATGCACCTTTAGACCTTAGCACATACTATAAAATATCCCTTTCTAGGTTAAGGCCTCGAATTCATCTAATGTCTGAAACATTACTTCCAGTTGGAGTTGTACAATTCAACTCATTCTAAACTTCTTGAGATTTTATCTTCAACAGGAAAGAGAAAAAACCATCTTTTATGACAGCAGAGTACTCTCAAGTTGTTTCTCACGAAGAAAACATTGAGTAGATTTAATGAACAGAAGATACTAAAAGTTAGCATTGGGCACTGGATACTACAGCAGATCCCAGAGAACCTTCTCAGAAGCTACAAATCATCTCAGCCTGAAAGAAAGCAACCCATCTGCCCTCCCATAAACCTGTCTCCAGCACATAAAAAGACATTTAAATTTGTGCTCTCTGATACCAAGAAGAAACTCACAGCAAGCCAAGAATTCAGTGTTCTTCTGGCATAAGCACAGGTGAATAATACTTTATTAGAATCATAAATTAGACTTCAGCACAAGACATTTTTTCAAGTGAGTACAGTAGTGAGATTATAAATCCAAATGGTTTCCCTCCTCTATGGTAACACCAAAATTATTACAAATATATCTCAAGCATTAATAATTTAAACCAGTAACCATTTGGGGTTAATGGCGTTTAGTACATACAAACCAGCAGGGACTAACTACATGTCTCAGGCAGCAAACTAGGGAACTGGTGTGAATGCTTGCTTGATTGATGTGCATTCTTTATGGAGAATTTGTACTGAATGTTGTGATACACTCATATAACCAATTCCCTGGAGAGGCAACCCAGTGGCAGAAGCAGCACACTGCATGCCTTAAAATAAGTACGATTTTTGACTACAGTAGAAAAATTACTCCTTCAACATATGGGGTTTTTTTTTACAGTGTGAAATGCATAAGGCTGCAAAGCAACCAAAATGTGTCTGTCCGAACCATGTCTGTCTATCCCTAAATCTTTTAAAGTCCTCCAGACCTCCAGATAAAATATATTCCCATATATTTTATCAATACATGGGAATACCTGAATCACAATGATGAGCCTGGCACATAAAGCAGAAATAAAGGCTGGAACTGCATTTCAATCCTGGATTATACACTGTTGCTGGCACTACTCAAGTAGCAGGCAGGGTTGCCAAAGACAAAAGCTACTTTTTTCAAAAATTAGATAATATTTTGTAAAATACTTGTTCTGTCTTACACCGGCCTATTACCTCATGTCTGGACTCTTCTGTCATTTGAAAGGCCATAGTTTGTTTAGCTAAGGCATCAATGAGAAGACCTAACATATATAAATGCTAAATGCCCCTAGAAATTTGTCCATAGCTCATTACTCTTACATTGGCAGGTGACATAAAGCGGTCTGTACATTGAACAACACATAGGCAAAGTTTTTGCGTGTATTTAAGCTTCCTATTGTCTAATCATGCAATTCTGCAGCTTAGCTGCTCACCTGCCTCTTGTAAAGGTGCAAAACAGGATCCTGAATGACCTAACAGAAAAGGTTACATAAAACACATATTCAATGCTTTCTAGACAAAGTACTCCTCTAAGTGAATTCAGCATCAACAGAGAGCAGACAATATAAAACTACATTTTTATATTTTCATGATATGTAACTATCAGAGTTTCAAAATCTGTGGTGGATGATGCCATGCCTAAGTTCAGATAGATTTAAAAACAATTCTGTAAAAAAATCAAGTGATATCACAGCTAATGAGAATCTCTACTTAATTCATGGTGAGAAATATAAAGCTGGTAATTTGTAGTAATGAAAGTAGAAGTGAATAGTGAAACTATTGTTCGTTTTATAAAATGAAGGTACAACTTTTTAAAGAACACTGTATTAGAATTTGTTTAAGGTCTCAAGAGCAGAAATTGGAACACAGAGAATCAAGTGCCCCTTTGCATGGAACAATCAGTTGCAAGGAGTATCTCGCATAAGATGGAATGAGATGAGATGGGGCAACTAAGGAATAAACGAATATGGAAAAACATGAGGTAACAAGTTTAGCATAAAATAATGACTGAGATAGAGGTGATAAGTCAAACATTCCTATGTATGTTCTTTCTCCCTACACAAGAACAAGGAAAACTCAGTTTAAAGAAAAGAATAAATTAAAGCCAAAATAAAATTAGCATATGGATTTTAAAGTTTTAAAAAAGTAGAATGCAGTTCTTTCAGTTCTTATTTCCACAACAAAAGTAACTTGCCCAAGAGATACAGTTATGCCATATAGCCTTATCGGTTAAGCCATACAGGTGAAAGATTTTACTAAAATATAAACCGCATTCTATCAACAAACTATCTGATATGGAATCATACAAAGGAAATCCTGGGTTTGTACATACTCGTTTTTTTATGTTCATAAAATACTGTAGAAACTGATCTGGAAAAGTCAAAGAAGGAAGCAAAACTAACAGATACAGACAGACTGCTTTGGAGAGATATATCTGCATTTCAGTTTATATGTGTTGGAGATGCAGAGATAAATGCCACACAGAATTCTGTAAATTTACCCCTTCTTGCATTTGAAGGTCAGAAACAGCTATCAAGTCACAACAATAGCACCTCTAAGAGGCATAAATGTGAACAACCAGAATATTCTATTCTAATAAAGGACAATTCTGCACTCCAAATACCTTATCTGGAAACAACTATTAGAAGCTGTAAAGACATATATGCCTTAGGCTACGACATTTAGAATAATGTTGTGAAGGAAACAGGAGACACAAGAAATGTTCTTTAGCTTGCCTGAACTCTATAGCCAGCATTTTGTGAAACTAAAGATCTCTTTGAAATGTGGAATCGTCTGGTTTTCCATCTCTGATTTTTAACATTGTAATCTTGCTGTTTTGGGGAAGAACACTAGTGTCTGACAAAACACTTGTGGTTCTTATGATCGGGGTTCTCAGGTTTGATTTCAAGGGCATTACTTGAGTGTAAGAATCATTTGGAGGGTTCTTTTCAAATCATACAACTTACATAAATGACATTGAAAGTAATCCTGGTTTGGACTTCTACCATATTTTGCAGGTAATATATCTAGTAGTTTGCTTCTGAGCGCTTCTAACGTTTCAACACTAACATTTTAATCCTTACACCATTTCTACTGCTTGTACAACTACAGTGGATACAATGGCAATCAGGGTGGTATCTAATTAAGGTAAAAATAAACTCAAGATGGATTCTTTACTGGCTTATAAGTGATATTCATATACTCAATGCAAAGTAACGTCTCATCGCAGTTTAACAGCCTCTTGTTTGCAGAAAGCTTGTAAAATATTCCTGGAGGACACTGTATCTACATCTTTTTACCTATGCATCACTTGCTGAATAGATACTGTGTCACCATAGGAAACATCAAAATGTGAGCAGGAGGCATTTCTAAATGGACTTCTATAAATTAAACTTTTATATGCTCCTTCTAAATGGGAACAGAAAGTCAATCTAGAAATTCCTTCTCCTCCCACTCTGATTTCATCAATGCCACATGTAAAGTTCGAAGAGGGAGTAAAGATATTTGGCTTTCTTACAGATTGAAAATAATGTCATATTGTAGATTGTGAGCTGGCACTGCAGCTAGACCATATGTGCCACTACCAAATAAGGGCCCGATCCTGCAGAACACTTAGCAACTTGCCAGGTTTCGATGCCCCAGGCAATCTGTCCCTTAGTCTTTACTGGGCTGAAGACAAAACAACACCAGACACAGTGTTCTACATTACAATTCGTATCCTTGCTCTAAAGGCACTTTCACTACAAAGGATAAGGACCTAGGCAGGTATATTTGTGAGCCCTGAATGTAATTCTAGTAAAAATAATATCAGATGTATCTGGAAGCAAAAAAAAATGTTTCTAATATCACAGGAAAAAGATCACAGAGTGAATGAAAACTAAGCTATGAAGCACAATGTGATACCTCCAGTTCTCTACTAGATTTTGTCAGTGACACAGTAAATACACCTGGAAAATTTTGATTTGATTTACTCACCTCAAGGAAGAAGTTGACCAGGTATGGATCCTGTTTCAGCTTTGCACATACTATACAAAGAAACTGAATTTCTTCATTTTCTGTTGGTGTTGCCAGAACTTCCCCACATAGCCTGATTAATTTCTGTCACATGAAGAAAAGTGAACAATTAAGACAGGGTGTAAGTTAGAGCTTTTTCTAGAATGATGGAGTGAATTCTTTTTCTATATACATACTACAATGATGTATGATTATTGACTTGAACATTTGCTCTAGATTTGTATTGCTATGAACAAGATTTCTTTATTACTTATGACTTGCATTGCAGTGGCAGTTCAAGAACTCTAATCATCAATACATTGAAATTGATACTGCACTTGAGCAGTTTCTTTAACTCACTTGACAATGGAAGAATTAAAGATACCATTAGCTACAGCAGAATTAGAGAAACTTGTCGTATAAAAATATAGTTTACTTAAAATTTGAACAGTACCTGCACTGGCCTATGCACATTTATGTGGGGAAGAAGAGGTTGCCGTATTCTTCCGAGAAGTTTTGTATAAAAAGCCAAAACTTGCTGTTTCATTCCTGGAGGACACTGAAACAAAAACGGATGAACAATAACAAAAATATAACAAGGGCGAAGAGAAACATAGATGCAAATTTGTCAGTCAAAATGGCTAATTAAACTGCAATAATTTATCCAAAAGTGTTTAAAAAAAAAAAAATCATCTGTTAACACATTACTTTTATCAATATTAACAGAGATCAACAAAAAATGTTGCATCTCATTACTGTTTTCTTCTTCGAATTATTCATACTTTCAGTTAATTGCTCTAGTGAAGACTTCTACCAACCTTTCCAGAAAATATTCCCTATTAATACAGTGCTAAGGGGAAATTAACTCTGAATTAATTGGCTACAGGTCAGCTGTCTTTTACAGTACTGTGCCACAAAATCCAGCAATTCAGTGAGTCAGTACATACAAATATATGATGATAAACTATAAACATCTTTATGTCTACAAAAGGTTTTTTAAATTCATGAGCAATTAACCTTAGATAGATAAAGTGTTTCTAAATGCACAGATGTTCCAGGACAAGAGAAAGCTGTTGTTTTCCCTGAGATTCAACAGAATGTAAATCACAAATATCTGTGGAACATCCAGACCCATGTTCTACTGTCCCTACTGCACCATATCACATAAAAGTACTTTCCTATCTCCATGAGATCTGATGGCTCGTGGTCCTTCATGTACCTTTGTTTCTAGCTAACTGACTCTAATGTGTTCTACCACGTTGATAAATGCTGTTATTCCATAGGTTAATTTTAACCCACATCATTTCCCTTATCTGGATCACTGCACAGGTGAATGGAGAATGAGTGGCAACAGCCAGGAATGACAACTGCCTAACCTGGTTCTCCTCCCAAGGTAATTATCCCTCGATTATTAATCCCTAATTATTACTGAGTTGTCAAGCAATCCATGGAAAAGAAAGGCAAAATGTCTACCATCAGGGTGCATCTACAATAACGCACTAAGTCTAAGGGATAGCTGTGAAGGGATATTATTCTTTTTGCAACAGATCTTTGCAACATCTTGCAGCACTGAACTGTGTGTTTACTTCAGATGTATCAACTCACAAGAGGCAAAGTATAAAGACAGGCTGTACAAAAATTGCTTGTACAGGCATATTTGCATGCGTGCAAAATGACTTCTCTCAACTCTTAGAAACATACTACTAATTACCCGCTTCACATCACGTCTCCATTTCATCTTGGTTCCTTGACAAAGTTTATAGATTACTGAACGAGCTGTATTTCTGAACAAGTATTTTCAATATATCAGGTATCTTAGCCTGATTGTAGGACAGCTGGTATAGTAACAGCAATTGTAGAGGTCTGGTCCTTCCAGAGCAAGGAACATCCCAGCCTCAGATGGTACTCTACATTGTCTATATATGTAAAATTGAGCAGATTAAAAACTCATGACAACGTGTAAAAGGCTGACTGAAAATGAAACCAGGGAGAGCTCCATTTATCCTTGGAACAGCACACACCATGCTTTCCTAACTGCATCTGTACCATGATACAAGAAGTTCTAGCACAAGGGCTGCCAAGTTAATTCACCTCGTGATCCATCCAACCCCATACATTTCAGCTCATAAGTCTGCCAAGAAAGATATCAACAAGAATGCATCAAGACCGTGAAGCTAATTTTGCTTGTGCCACAAACCAGACATGAGAAGAACCAGACAACATTGCCAAGGGCTGCATTCATACCAAAGACTCGGATGTGAAAGCTGCCTGGGGATCAGCTTAAATTAATGCTTTCTGACATGGAAGTCTTTCTGAGCAATAACTCATCACATTCAGAAAAATTAAACAAAATTTGTATTTAATACAGCACTTTTCACTCAAGAATCTCCCAACACTTAACAAAGGAGAGAGAGGGATAATACTGTCTTGTAGAAGACAGAAAAATTCTAGACTGAACAAAAATGTGTCTCCTACTTCTAGCTTCACAGTCAATATTATAAGAGTGGTAAGTAACAAATCTCAGGGTTCTGCCTAGTCAGCATCCCACTGGTTGTCTCACTTTGATCGCACTTGTAAAAGACTGTTATTTGTAATATGTTGGTAACATAAGCTAACAGCTGGTTGCTAGAGTTCACTGTCCCACACTACCATCTACTGTAGAAATTCAGTCCCTATTACAAAAGATAATCTGCTTTGCTGAGAAGTACATACATCAGCTTTTCCTAGTGTGTAGAGCGTCTCCAAAATCTTGTGATGTAGCAAATACTCCATACACGGTCCTGTTTCGCCTGATTCCCTCTCATTTTCCTCTTGAACTAGAATATCCAACATCTGTTCCAGGTGAGAAGGAATGTTGGTATCAGTCACAGGAGCTTTGTCATCTAAATAGAAGAGATGTACAATTAAGAATGATTGAAATATTGCCCTCACTTTTCTTAGTTCAGTTCCAAATTTAAGATTTAAAAATGTGACCATTCATTTAAAGAATCTTATATATAGTATTTAAGTTTTTTAACATGTCTTAAATAATTTTTCAGAATTTTCAGAACTGTATTTGGAAACATAAACTGGAATATGCATTAGGCAGTTATCTAATCTTGCAATGAGGAAACGGTAAAATGCCAAATTTCAAAACACGTATTAATTACACAGTCAAAAAGGGAAAGTTTTACAGCCAGAAACCAAGCTTATGGAGAGAAGGGTTCAACTCTCAGTCTTCTGGTTAGTATCCACCCAGTCTCAGTAACTTCCTCTTTGACTCTTCACATAGTATTCTGAAATCTATAAACAGCTTCTAAGATCAGCTTAATTTGCAGCTGATCAGTTCCTTTACAAACTAGATAACTAAAGAAATGATTTTTCTAATGATAACAACAAAGAAAATCCCAACTCTATGCTGTTTATTCTTCAGAAGTTTTTAGATTTGTCTTTTATACTTTCTGCATTAAGATAGCATTCTGTCAAACGTTATGAAGGAAAGGGTGAGACTCTGATTTCATTATACTAAAGTCATGAAACTGTTGTGGATTTATGCCACTGGCAATGGGAGCTGGCATTAACATGTTGTAGAGCATGTCCACACGTGGAGATTTTCCTTTTTATTTTTTGCAGCTAAATTCTACTTGAACAAATATCCCACTAGGGAAATTATTACTACTTCTTACGCAATAATCTAAAAATAACTGTCACTTGCATGCAAACGGCAACAAGATCACAAAGGAAAACTGCCATATCAGAGTGATTTTGGTCTCTACCGCAACCTCCAGTTAGCCTAGAGTGTTTTGCTTGAGTTTCCTAGGTGTAATTCTGCTCCCACTGCAGAGGATAGCAAAATATCCACTGAGTAGAAACTTGTTTTTCACAAGACTTTTGAAAATCTGGGAGAGAGGTCAGCTTTTATTCTGCACCACATAATTGCAGGTATCAGTTTTCCCCTACCACCCTGTTATTTCTACCTTAGGAAACATCACATAGCGTTCCAAAAGATGGGTATTTAGAACCAAGGCTCAAGTTTCAGCCTGTAAGAGTAAATATTGATATAAACAAGATCACCAGGCCCAGACACAAACACAGATTCAGTAGCTACTCTAGCAGAAATACAGAACTAATAAGCTTGAGGAAAGCATGGAAACATTCACTTTTAAAACTTACTAGTTTAATAACTAGGACCAAAAATTAAAAATTTAGATGTTGTATAACTGTTGTAGGACACTAGGGAAAAGTTTAAGAAAAAGCAACTATAGATGTATTTCATCAGAATACCCATTTCTTAGAAGACCAGAATAAGGTCTGGATAAGTTTCCACAAAATGTGTTCTAAATCTGCTCACAAATTCACTTTTCAGAGCTATGTTATTAAAAAACCTTTCATGGAGAGAAGACACTAAAGAAAAAACACCTAATATTGAGCACACAGAATTCACATATGTCTGGTAAAATCTATGACCACAAAATTACTTTTGTTAAAATCTTGGAAAGAAAAAGAAAATCCCTGACGTAAAACAATAAAAAGCTTAACAGCAGGGACTATATTTCTGTAGTTGTCTGTTTAGATTAAACAGAAGATGTGAAGACAGAAACGGGGTTGGATGTGAAAAGGTACAATTCTCTACATGGTACTTGGAAAAGACGACATTCCCTCGATTGTTTTTCATGCCTACTTTTTAAGGGACGAATGGGGGTACACGTATTTTTAATTACTAATTATTATTTTTGGTATTTTGATAAAAGACATGACTCATTTTAGTGTTTCTTAATCTTTACTTTTTAACAACACTAAGATTGGGAATTCAAGTTTTCACAACAAAGAGAGAAAACCAGAATGTTTTCTTGTTTTACCTGACGTCTCTATGTAGTAATGGGTGATTGCTTTCCAGTGGTAAACGAAATCTTCTTGTAATGGAAGGGAAGGTGCGAGCTATGGGGGAAAAAAAACCAACAACAAAAAAACCCAGTTAGGAATGAAAGAAACATATTTCCTCAGAAATTAAATTTAGTTTTACCTTACACTCGGAAGTAAACTGCTGCAGACTAGTGCTACAATTCTTACTCTGTGCTCTTTTACCTTTAACAAGCACTACATACATTATTTATGGCATGAGCCCCATGTCATACAGCCTAGCTTGTGAACATCAGTAATAATATCTGTGATGTCTCTATGACCAATCTATTTGAAGCAACGAAAGCAATTGTTCATACAGCAAAGCAACACTAGAAACGTAGGTTTGAATTGTTTAGATCTCAGAGTTTTGTCCTGTAGGAAAAAATCATGTTCTTTTACATCTGTTCTTGATGCCATCTTCCCTTTCTGTACGCTCTGTTCTCCTCTATGTCTCTGCTCCCTTAAAAATACCGATTAGCTGCTTCATACAGTTTTTGCCATGCCTTTTTTTCCTGTTAACCATGACTTTTAAAAGATCTTTATTTCCTTTTTTTTGCACATCAGAACCATCCCCAGAGCTTGACAGGTTGTGCTTTTTTTTAACAAATACATTTCTTATTTCAGTTCTGAAAGAAAAGGAAGTTTCTTCTTTTCTGGAGGAATTTGGGATGGCCGGTTGGGCGTGACTGGCATCCAGGAATAACATGCTGCAAGAACGGAACACAGCCTCCCACCCAGCCAACATCAGCACTGCTCCTTCCTCACCGAGCTTGAGAACTGGGTGCCCTGCAGCCCATTACACCACAGGCACAAACAACTGCTACACCACAGGCAGCATGTGAAAAAAGAAGGACCATGGTCATTTTACCACCCTGCTCTCCGAAGTGAGAGTTGAGGCAAACACTGAATTTGTGACCACACATAAAATGATCAGAGCTGGTAAAATCAGGAATCCTATAGGGAAAACGCCCACTACTCAACAGATCCTATAAGGGGCTGTTGTTACTGAGGCCTAATCCTACTTGCTTGAGGCTTTTTTTTGACAATCAAGTCCTCAAGTCATTCTTTTATAGGCAATCCTGAAATAAAGGATTATCATTTGACATGATGGTAGCAATGAGACCTGCAGGCAAACAGAAAGAATCCCATGTATAAGTTGGTGTGTCCATTTTGGAAGGATAAGGAGTTGAATCATCCTGGGAAGCTATGGAGTCCAGTCCTTCACAAAATCACAGAGTGGCTGAGGCTGGAAGGGACCTCTGGAGGTCAGCTGGTCCAAGCCCCCTGGTCAAGCATGGCCACCTAGAGCCAGTTGCCCAGGACCATGTCCAGACGGCTTTTGAATATCTCAAAGGATGGAGATTCCACAACCTCTCTGGGAACCTGTGGCAGGGCTATCACCCTCACAGGGAAAAAGTTTTCCCCCCAGAAGCTACAGATTCCACATTAGTAACTCTGAATTCCTCTAGTGGCTCCTCATAGGGCCTAAAAAGTGCTGAGTTGCCTCAACTCTTGGACAAACAGAAGCACAGGGCTCAAATATCTGTATACTCTTCACTGGGTAGTGTTGGTCTCTTTGAAAAAGCCTTGGAAGTTTTCCACATCAGTCTTTTTTTTTCCTTGAATGTAATGACTTAAATTTATCTTGGTAAAGACACAAAGCCCAGCATATGAACAGCATGCCCTGCCGTGATAAGAAAGTGGAACGCTAATTGTTAATGACCCTTTGCACACAGGACTTTGAAATGCAAGTCTTTAAAAAAACATAGTGGTGCTTGGTAACTATCTATGCCTGCATCCTGTGTGGAAATGTGCCCTCACAAATGGCAACTAGGAATCAAGCTTACATTGCTTATCCGTTCCCTGACAGTCTGTGGACTCATTAAGTCTTCCATATTTCCACGGCTGGGCACTGAGAGTAGCACTTTAGCACACCAGCTATCACAGAATAAATATCAGGACACCACAGACTGAACAAAACTAGTTTATTTTACTATGAAGTTTACTAGGTTATTGAAATTCAGAAGAATAACTGAACTGAAGACTGAGGACATGATATTTTGTATCATACTTCGTATGTCACATTGCTGCTGCGGATGTGTATTTCAAGCAATGTAATGATCATTTTGCATCTTTCTGTAACAAAACTATATTGAAAACTCAACTCTGGCTGATGAATGGCACAGAGACCGCTTTTGAGAATACCAGGCCTTTCAGACCACTCTATTTCCAAAGTAACACATGATAGAGAACATTAAAGATTTATCCTTGACTGATGTGATTTTCCCTTCCACTTCTTCTAGCCTCATCTGCCTTGAGATGAATTTAGTGCCTCTGAGCAGTGCCAGGAAAAGGATTTCACTTCTCAGCACTGTCAGTAATTTATCCACCGCAGGAGAGAACTGTGGATACAGTCATTCCCTCTGCCAACAAATGCCTCCAGAGACTCCTCTCAGAGGTGAAAAGGTAATTCAGGGACAGGTCCTGCCCTTTTTAATTAAAACACTCAGTGATTTCACAGAGCCTTCTCTGATCAAGGACTGTAAGACAGATATCAAATGGAGATACCATTAGCATGTGTGTGCACCTATGCATGTACATGCACACCTATTCGGAACATCAAATCAACCTTGCCACCAACTGGACCTGGTGATACAGAGCTGTGGCGGCTTCTCCTGCATTGGGCTACCAGACACAGCAACTCCTAACAATATAGAAAAATTGTATTTCTTTACTTGTTCAGTTAAAGTATCCCCACCCCCAAATACTCCCACCCCCAAATTCCTCTTCCCACCACAGATGGACCTAGTATATGTCTGCTTTTTACAGCACAGCTATTCCAGGGAATATTTAACAGAGATGTAACTCCAGCAATGCTATGTATTATTCTGAGATAAGTGTTTTATAGACAAAAAAAAGAAAAAAACCTCCAACCCTCTTAACTTAGTTATTCAGACACAAAATCAAGGTAAAGACCGAGACTAAGATACCAGCTTATACACAAACAAAGCCCAGCATTAGAAAGCATTAGAAAAATGTAAGCTCCCAAACACTTGGTTGACATGCTTTAACCCTACTAGGACAGGTAATTCTAGGATGAAGTTGTAGTTTCTATTTTAGGATGAATTATTAGCTACCAGCTGCGATTAAATACATGTTACAGTTGCCAATCTTAATAATCACTCTTTTGTAAAAATACACATGCTTGTATAAAGATTCTGAAGCAAAACAAAATTCATTGTGAAGGCCATTAATTCCTGCTATTTGTCTAATTTGAAGGAATTACCTTAAAAGTGCAGTTATTTCTCACAGTTATATTAATTCCTTTTGATATAGTTACATATGTTCTTACTAATTTTGAGCTATCGACTCCTAATCTCAAAGTGAAGTTCTCCTCCTTTGGGGAAAAAAACCCAACATCTTAAAGACTGCAGTGTAGGTGTTGGTATATCAAATAGCCAAAACTCACTGAACACTACTGAAAACCAGCCCATTTGAGCAGACATTGATTAGCTCTTCCATCTGGTCCCCAACTCCAACAGTCGAGCTTCCTGGGAGTAAGCGAGTGAGTGTTCTCATTTAGGAGCTAAACTTAACACATGCTGCCTTATCATTCTGGTGACAATACGTTACTAATGATCAAACCCCACTCCTTCCAGGAAAAGTGCTGTTCTCAGGAGAACTATAGATCTTTGACCAGAACTACAGTCTGCTCATTATAAAATCTGTCCAAAATATAATTCCATGCAGTTTTCAAAAGTATATAGAATTTGTGTTTAGGCAGGAAAAAAAAAACAACGTTGAGTGCAAAGAAACCTATAAATATTCAGTATTTAACAGCAATTCCTTTGTGTTAAAAATTATTGCCATATTTTTCATGTATGCTTTTCAGACGTGCAATTCAGTACTGAAAAGAATGGAAACAACCGAAGCTGGTGATATCCTGCAATATCTTTTGGACAAGTTCACAAAGCAAAGAAAACACTGTATAAAAGAATAACAGGTACTGTCTGGTCAGAAAAAGAAAGTGGAAACTGAAACGAAGTTTCAAAGAGAAAGGAAGGGGAAGTGCATGCACACTCCCCTGTCTGAAACAAGGAAAACTACAGCAGTCACTCGATGTTTTTCTTTGCTCTTACTACTTTACTAGTGTGAAGGTTTGCCCTGAGGGAAAATCTGAAAAAGGACTAATACTTGAAGGTTTACTTTATTTCTTCAGCTGGTGAATGAACAGAGTTTATAATGTATAAAATTAAGACTGCACATGCTTGCAAGCCATGCATTAAATTTTGTCATCATAATTTGTTAATAGCAGCACAATATTAAAACAATCAGTAATGTGAGGTCACTACATCAAATAAGGTGGGTTCAAGAAGAATAAATCTTGTTTTGAGCAGTTATGCAGTTAATGATTATGGAGCAGTACCTGTAGCAAGTGACTCGGTTTCTTTCAAAGCTCAGTTTTGCCTCAAAACATGAACAGAAAAGAAGCTACTTAAGAGCACGTTAAGGCACCAGTGTAAGAGATACAGTGGAGTAATAGGTTGGTAGAGAGAGGTCCCAAAAATGTGCAGCAGACACCAAAATCTAAATCCACTCCCAGATACCAAGAGAGTGATACAAATAATCTTGTTTTACAACAAATTGCAAAATTCAAAACAACCAAAATCATATTTTTCCCACTCAAGGTACACAGCTCAAAAACATCCTTTTGAGTTCACTATTAAAATGAAACATCTCCTGAAAGTCCAAATCAAACACAAAAAAAAGTCCTTTGAACACCAAGTGACCACTTTACAGACAAGCTATTTTGTCTAGGGAAACACGAGTGAAGAGCACAAGATAAGAGAAAAAACAAGTCTGACTTGCTGCTTTGTTACTGTACGCTACATTTTGTATGTTGCTGAGAACGTAGCACTCCTGGAATATGTTTGGGATAAAACTATATCAGAAATGCAAAGCAAAGAGAAAACATCTTGGGGACAAGCTATATATAAACTGTCACAGATTCACTGATATTAACGCCATAAAGCAAC